AGCATAATAATACCCTGAGTTTAAAGGAGTTACTTTTTTCAAAAGTTCTACTCCGAGTTTCCAATTTTGATTGTTGTTTACCATGTAGGATTTGGACTCTTGTCAGTTCTCTCTTGTCTACTAATTCTTATGAATATGCTAGTATTTGGATGCCCCAGTGTGTGTATATAGAGGGGGGAGGATTGCTAGAGGCTGAGTGATAATCTCTTGCTTTTGAGTATATACTGTGTTAAATAATAATCAGATCTTTGGAAACAAACCCCTGATGATTTCAGATGTTTGTGCAACAGTTTGTGCAACAAGGGCCCTAAGTTCTTGTTCCCTAGCTCAAGAACAATATTTTTCCTCTTTAAGAGAGTTTCTCACAATATCTCATTTGGGGGGGGGGGGGGGAAACCCAACAGTAATATTATTCAATTTCTTTAAAAGTGTTGTTGTTTAGAATTTATCAGAGTCTCAGCCCACCCTGAAATCTGCAAGTATAACTGGCAGAACATGAGATTGGAGCCGCTACTTAAAATCAAAGCTTGGAAAAAGGTATTATTTGGGACGGCAACCCAGCCAACAGCACCACTGGGCAATTTTGAGAACTGTCATCAAAAAAAAAGAGAGTAAATTATTCAAGTTGTACTTAAAATAGAAAAGGATCATTGAGGGTTTAATGAGCTTGCCACATTTTTTCTTCTTTTTCAGAATGTCTCAAGTGAGTTGAACTCATGATCCTCTTTAAGGAAGCCTGCAGGCAGGCACCAGCCATCTGTTCCACAGCTAAACAAGGAGAAACTAGGTGCCCTTCCACACAGCCATATTACCCAGAATATCAAGGCAGAAAATCCCACAATATCAGCTCTGAACTGGTTTATCTGAGGCCCCTTCCACACAGCTGAATAAAATCCAATGTTTTCTGCTTTGAACTGGAATATATGGCAGTGTGGACTCAGATATCCCAGTTCAAAGCAGATATTGTGGGTTATTCTGCCTTGATATTTTGGGTTATAAGGCTGTGTGGAAGGACCCTAAGTCCATACTGCCATATATTCCAGTTCCAAGCAAATAATGTGGGATTTTTTTCCAGCTGTGTGGAAGGGGCCTGGGCAACACAGATGTAAGTATAGAGGAAATTCTGTAATCTGAAAAGTGAAGGAGAAAAAAATCCAAACCAGAATTCAAAGTGAGGATGTTTTAGTTGAAAAGGAAGTGTTACAATCATAAAGGTGTACTGTATATGTGTACTGTATTCCCATTTTGGAGATGTTATGATTCTTTCAAAATAAGTCAGGATTTCTGTTGTTGTTGTTGTTGTTGTTGTGTGCCTTCGTGTCATGTTGATTTATAGCGACCTTAAGGTGACCTTAGACAGGACATTCTGGGCACCCACTAGGTTTTCATGCCTGAGTCATCAACCAAACAAACCCTGATCTCCAGAGTTGCAGTCCAGCAAACAAACTACTATGCCATGCTAGCTCACAAGAATACTATTAGTTAATGTAATTCCTGATGGTGTAGTGGGTTAAACTGCTGACTGCGGAACTTGCTGATCAAAAGGTTGGCGGTTTGAATCTGGAGAGCAGGGTGAGCTCCCGCTGTTAGCCCCAGCTTCTGCCAACCTTGCAGTTCAAAAACATGCATATATGAGTAGATCAATAGGTACCGCTTCGGTGGGAAGGTAATTACAATCCCTGCAGTCATGCCAGCCACATGACCTTGGAGGAGTCTAGGGACAATGCCAGCTCTTCAGCTTAGAAATGGAGATGAGCACCACTCCCAGAGTCGGACACGACTAGACTTAATGTCAAGAGGAAATCTTTATCTTTTATTACCACCTTTTTTAAAAATTTATACACTGCCCAACTTCTGGAATAAATACATAATCAAAAGAACCTATCACATCATCCCCTTTATGTGTGGTAAGATGTATTTCTATCTTACTGCAATGTTTTCAAATGTGTTATAATACTTATATTGAAGGTGTTTTAATATGAGAGCTTAAGTTCTAACTTTTTAAATCATTGGATTTCTAGCACTTTCTTGCTTTACCTTTGTTGTAAGATGTTGAAATTTTGTTATAAAAAAAGATATTAATTAATGAATTACAGTAAGCCACATGCTGTACCATTTCCATGTGCTGTGTGAATATACCTGTCTTTGTACTCAGCTTTTCTATACAGATGCAGCAGGGCAAACAACAGCCATGAATGGTGAAGACAGGGCTCCAAATCTGAGCCACTAGAAGTTGTAGCACACGTTCGTTTCTTGCAGTGACTCTAAGGCCCTCCACCAATGAGTAGAACTATAGAACTGAAAGCGATAACAAGGGTCATCCAGTCCAACCTCATGCCATACAGAACACACAATCAAAGCTCCCCCTGATAGATGACCATCCAGTCTCTGTTTAAAATCCTCCAGAGAAGGAGACTCCACCACTTTCCAAGGAAGCATATTCCACTGTTGAGGAAGCTCAGGAAGGTCTTCCTAATATTCAGGTAGAATATATTTTTCTATTATTTAAAACCATTGCTCTGTATTCTAGTTTCTGAAGCAATAGAAAACAACACAGCTCCATCTTCAATATGACATCATTTCAAATGTTTAAGCATGGCTATCATGTCACCTCTGAAGCTAAACTAACCCAGCCACCTAACCTCCTCTTTAGAGGACATGGTTTCAACACCTCTTGCCATTTTCATCACCTTTTCTGGACATGTTCTAGCATGTCAACTCAATATAATTCTTGAATTGTGGTGCCAGAACTGAACACAGTATTCCAGGCGAGGCTTGACCTAGGCAGAACAGAGTGGAACTAGGATATTCCATCAATCTAGAGACTATATTCTTATTTATACAGCCTAGAATTGTATTGGCACAAAAGCTTACATTCTCCTCTCATCGTCATCATCCCCACTCCACAGGCCTGATCCTGATTTCATCAAGCCCGCCAGATTTCTACAGTATTGGGAATGTAATATCCCACTTTCTAGAATAAGAAACACACCACTACTGAGGACACATGGTTAAAGCAAGGAAAGCAATATTGTGGCCTTGTGGACATTAAAACCCCTGTTGAGCCACCCTAATGTCTGAAACCCACCCAAAAACCCAGTCAGTTCTTGACATTTAGCAAAATAGCAAATTTGTTCAGTCGTTTCTAACTCTTCGTGACCTCATGGATCAGCCCACGTGAAAGCTCCCTGTTGGCCATCACCACCCCCAGCTCCTTCAAGGTCAATCCATCACTTCAAGGATGCCATCCATCCATCTTGCCCTTGGTCGGCCCCTCTTCCTTTTTCCTTCCATTTTCCCAGCATAATTGTCTTCTCTAAGCTTTCCTGTCTTCTCATGATGTGGCCAAAGTACTTCATCTTTGTCTCTACTATCCTTCCCTCCAATGAGCAGCCGGGCTTTATTTCCTGAAGTATGGACTGATTGGATCTTCTGGCGCAGACATGTAGCCGGGGGGGGGGGGGGGGGGA